GCAAAACCAGTGCAGACTGTGCTGGTGCAGGAGAGGAGCCAAAAGGCAAGGAAAATTCAGTGTTCATCAGTAGCAACAACAGCACTGAATCCTGTTGGTTTGAAATCCAGTCTTGGGCAGGAAACTCTTGAGGATGGGACAACTGATGGCCTGGTCAGGCTAATGATGAGTGTGATGGAGAGTATGGGCATGAGCAGGGAAGGATACCTAGAAAAAGCGGTGATCTCTTTTGCTACTGACTGCTCCAGCGTGATACTGTACCGGCGGTGGCAAGGAGTCTCCAGAGGAGAAGGAAGCCAAAATTGCGCTAGGTACTGGGCTCTGAGCAGTGCCACTGAGACATCGGTTCTCCGATGCCAAACATGACATGACCTCCATGGACTCCTGACTGGAGGAGCACCAGACACCCCAATACCCGCACCCTTTGAGGTGCTCCTGCACCGTGCAGCCACCACTGTGCACGTGGCAGTCGTGCCCCGTGCCGTGCGTTGCAGCCAGACTTCGCACGGCAGATTTCTGCACTCTCCTGCTTCTTGGTGCAAGGCTGGGTTCTGCGCCCTGGTCCCATGCTGCATGCTGCACCTGGGCAGGCACCACGCACTGCACCTGCCTCTGTGCTCAGCCGGGCACTGGGTCTCCCAACAGCCTTATCTTGCATTTATATCACGCATCTTGAAACATTCTTGGGGGAGAAAGGCATTTTTGTTCATGATTTTTTTAACACTTTAAAGTGTTGTTTGTACTGTGTACAGCAGATGCTAACCTTGCAGCCAATTTAAGGGAAATATGTGCAATTTCATGAGTTAAATGTTCGAAAGACGGTGCTATGATCTTAGAGATGGTTTTTAGTCTACATCTGTCTAAAAGCACTTTAGTTATCTGGATATTTCTAAGTAATATTTTTCTCCCTTGTCAGTTACTGAGCATTTATTACACATTCATAAATGGAAGTGCAGCAAATCTTTATTTTTTCGCACTGTTTAGACTTTTATTTCAGGTGTGGATAGATGTGAGCAGATCTGGCAAAGATTCATATCCCTGATTAGCTTGAGTACTCCGCTCCTTCAAACCCGCTGTAGTTCCTGTTGCTTTGGACACAAGGTCCATGCTGATCTGTGCCACTGAATTAAAGTGGTACCTGAATAACTGCATTTTAGCTTTATTTCATCCCTGCTCTAAACCTCCCCCCGAGCCTTTGCCTCTGCAGATGGAACTGAACGGACCCACAAACCCACTGCAACAGATCTGGGTTAATCGTGACTTGGAAAGATTTCTAACACAGACCAGCATGTACATGGCTCTATAATGATGTTTTTGCGTGGCCCTGCCTTTCTTTGTGGGGCCAGATATCAGTTGTGTGTGTGCCATGTGGGAAGACAGCTGGAAAGTGCAGCTAGGTGCAGAACAGTGATAACCAAGTAGCAGTCATGGATTTCACCATCTTCTTCCTCTCCTTTTTATGGAAATAAGGAAAAAATAGTGGGACGAGCAATTGGGAAACATAGTTCGTGTCAAATACCTGCTTTGACAGAAAAGATAGAAAGGCAAAGCAAAGCGGTGAGAGGGCACTGATGTGCGTGCCCGTAGGGTAGCTGTGCCTGGGAGAGAGGCAGAAGCAGAAATCCCCTGCTATTTTCTCTCTTCCCAGTGGCACAGGACTGGTGCTCTCCAGGCTGTCACACCAGAGAGAGAGCAAGAGGTAGTCCGTGGGGTAAATGCAAAATGAGCCCATGGAGAGTTACTGAGAGGAGATTAGCCTGACTGGCGGAGTCCTGGCTCTAACCAGGATGGCTTCACCTGAAGGCTGAGGCTTCAAACTGTCTCCGGAGATGGATGTGGAAAAGCCAGCCAGGCTTGCTAGGATGCCAGGTGCTCTTTAACCCGGCAGGGATGAAAATCCTGTGTCCGAGTGCTTCCAGTCGAAGGTCCCCATCCTGCAAACACCTCTGCCTGTGCTCAGCTTTATGCTGGCACTTTTAGCGCTTGCACGCCACATTGAGTAAGCCTCGTATATGTTGGCAGGAATCAAAGATGAGGCCGATATCTAACTGCTGGTAGCAGTAAGAATAGGAGTAGAAAGATGTGGGAGGTTGGGGGTTTTGTTTTGTTCTGTTTTTCTTTCTTTTGTTACAGCTCTGATCAACAGATATCCACAGCCAAACTCACCCCCTGCTCAGACCACTACTGGCTTGGTTCATCAGTGCCTGCCGTGATATCATCACGGAAGACCTTTAATATACTTAATTCACTTTAACATCCCAAGCACAAACACAGGCTGGGCCTGTGGATTGAGAGCAGCCCTGCAGAGAAGGACTTGAGGGTATTAGTGGATGAAAAACTGAATATGAGCCAGCAACGTGCGCTTGCAGCCCAGAAAGCCAATCGCATTCTGGGCTGCATCAAAAGCAGTGTGGCCAGCAGGTCAAGGGAGGGGATTCTGCCCCTCTGCTCTGATGAGACCCCCACCTGCAGGACTGCATTCAGCTGTGGGGCCCCCGACACAAGAGGGACATGGACCTGTTGGAGCAATTCCAGAGGAGGGCCACGAAGATGATCAGAGGGCTGGAGCACCTCTGCTATGGAGACAGGCTGAGAGAGTTGGGGTTGTTCAGCCTGGAGAAGAGAAGACTCTGGGGATGCCTTATAGCAGCCTTCCAGTACCTAAAGGGGACCTACAGGAAAGCCGGAGAGGGACTTTTTACAAGGGCATGTAGTGATGGGACAAGGGGTAATGGCTTTAAACTGAAAGAGGGTAGATTTAGGTTAGAGGTAAGGAAGAAGTTCTTCATGGGGAGGGTGGTGAGGCACAGTCTGCCCAGAGAGGCTGTGGATGCCCCATCCCTGGAAGCGTTCAAGGCCAGGTTGGATGGGGCTTTGAGCAACCTGGTCTAGTGGAAGGTGTCCCTGCCCATGGCAGGGGGCTTGGAACTGGATGATCTTTAAGGTCCCTTCCAAGCCAAGCCATTCCATGATTCTTCTATGATGATGCCAAAGGCTGCAGCTATTCAGCAGGTGAGCGTGTTAGCTGCTAAAATCTCTTGCAGGGCAGTGAGGTTGCCTGGCTGGACCGGGAGGCCTGGCTGCAGCAGGGAATGACTTCTTCTGCCCTGGCAGCCACAAACCTTTGGGAGCTGCCACAGAGAGGTGCCATTTGCAGATCACAGTAACAGGACTTCTCTAGAGCTGGTAACGCCAGCATCGCTGTTTGGACTCCATAATGCCAGGAGGGTCTTCCAAATGGAGACACAACGAATGTAGGAAGCAATTCCATAACCTGTCTTTTATCCAGCACCAGCCTTTCCTGGCATACTCAAGCGCCGTACTTAATAATGAGAATTGCCATAACACCCCTTGGTTCTCAAAAGTCAACAGCCTGATGCCAGCCTTCACCGCCAGAAAGTCATAGCTAGGACAAGTAGGCATCACAAAATCTCAGGGACTCATCTCCCCTCTCCTCAGCTCTCTTGGAGGCAAGAAAGGAGATTTGGGGTTGTGCTTGTCCTGCCCAGCAGCCCAGCTGAACGGGGCGATTGGATGGCCTCCAGGCTGGATTACATCTGAGTTGTGTTGATGATGGTCATGGCTTTCTTTGAGGAAAAAGACAGTCAAAACTTGAAGGTGGGGGGGTGATCTGATGAAGCAGGAGAAAAATAAAACTTGGTGGTGGAAAAGGAAAATCAACTTTATGTGGAAGAAAACCAAAGAAGGGCACCATTCCCAGAAGATTTCAAGGTCTGCAAATGAAGCAGCTAGCTTTTCAGGCCAAAGAATTTAAATTCAGGCTTAGTTTTTTTTGACAACTCATTTGCTCGTTTTGTGAAAAGCATTCCTCTGCAATCCTGGGGGGAGAGGTGGTGGTGGTGGTTTGCATATAAGTAATCGTTGATAGAAAACTTTTGAGCAATCCATAAGCAAACCAAGTGAAAGTCGAAGAGCTCTCCATACTCCTGTCTGGCACCAGGTGGCATATGTGCTGTTGTTTGTAAGAGAACATTTAGGCAAACGGAAACCTTGGCATTTAAAACTTAAGGAAGGAATACTGAGCTCTATCAGCAGTGTGGTAACACCTACTTTGCAAGGAAGTTAAGAGTATATTTATTCTCGTATTTTAGCTATAAAACACAGCCGCAAATGTCAGAAGTGTCAGAAATCCAAATCCTGATAAAATCTGTATTATTTACCTAGATAAAGCGTCTGGTGATATTTCTAGAATAGGAAAAAGTTATACAAAACACTACTTGTCTCTATCACTGCCAGAACAAGCTTCAGCTTAGCGTAAAGAGTAGCTTCAAGCTTTTAATCTTGAACATGAAATGTGCTTTGTCTGCCCAAACTCTGGGAGTGAGTCGAGTCGGTGCTCGGGTAGTTTGGCACTTCTTAAGGATGCCCAGACCTTGCTGCTCTAATATGTATGAGTTCTTGGACTTGGTGCTGGGAGGCTGGACCAAACTGCCTAAAAGAATTCATTTCTTCATGCCAGCAAAGAGGTCCCTGTTATGCACGGGAAAGAAGCAATGTGTTACTTGCTGTAAAATCTCGCTGCTCGTTATTGAGGGTTTGCCCTATAAAGTCAGGGTTAAATCTGGTCCTGAGATTAAAACGGAGGAAGAAGTGTCGCGATACCAAAACCAGGAGCTCCACGTTGCGTTAATGACGATGCTCGCAGGGCTGCCAAGCGAAACGGTGGACGCGTCCCCACTTGGAGAGACCTACCCCATTTCGAGCAAAGGGCGGACAGGCGTACAACAAACGGCAGTGCGTGAGGCCACGACGCGTTTGTCGCCTCCCCACGCGTCTGCGCGCGAGGGCCGGGAACGCCGTTTGAGGCCGGTGCTGCTGCTGTGCTGACTTTGTGGTCAGCGTGCGGTGACGGACATCAGTTTGTCGGCAGGGCAGTGCGCGTTGTGTGCCGAGCGTTGCCGCATGTGCCGAAGCGCGTGGCTGTACCCGTGTGCGCGGTGATGAGGGTGCGCGCAGGGGTGCAACCTCTGCCTGCGCGTCTATGCGGGTGATGTTTCCAGGGTGGTGTAGGTGTGGGGTGTATCTCCGTGGGTGACTCTGGGGGTGCAGGGGGGTTGTTCCCAGGGCTGTACGGACACGGGGGTGCATTTGGGTAGGTGTTTCTCTGGGTCCAGCGTACCTGTGTGAGTGCTACGGGTGTTCCCAAGGCTGGGAGGGTGCAGGCGTATCTCTCTGGGTGCGAGGTGCTCCTGGGGCCATGCAGGTATGGGGGTGTCTCTTGGGGTTCTCCTGGGGTCATGTGGGTGCTGGGGTGTCTCTGGGGGTGCTCCTGGGGCCCTGTGGGTGCGGAGGTATCTCTTGGGGTGCTCCTGGAGCCCTGTTGGCAATGAGGTGTCTCTTGGGGTGCTCCCGGGGCCATGTGGGTGCGGGGGTGTCTCTTGGGGTCCTTGCAGGGCCATGCGGGTGCAGGGGTGTCTCTTGGGGTTCTCCCGGGCCCTGTGGGTGCTGGGGTGTCTCTTGGGGTTCTCCCGGAGCCATGCGGGTGCTGGGGTGTCTATTGGGGTGCTCCTGGGGTCCTGTGGGTGCTGGGGTGTCTCTTGCGGTTCTCCCGGGGTCCTGCAGGTGCGGGGGTGTCTCTTGCGGTTCTCCCGGGGTCCTGCAGGTGCGGGGGTGTCTCTTGGGGTTCTCCCGGGCCCTGTGGGTGCTGGGGTGTCTCTTGCGGTTCTCCCGGGGTCCTGCAGGTGCGGGGGTGTCTCTTGGGGTTCTCCCGGGCCCTGTGGGTGCTGGGCTGTCTCTTGGGGTGCCCGCAGTGCCATGCTGGTGCGGGGGTGTCTCTTGGGGTTCTCCCGGGGCCACGCCGCTGCGGGGGTGCCTCCGGGGCCGCCCCCGCGGCCATGCGGGTGCGGGGGTGTCCTGAGGTGTGTGGGACACCCCCGGGTCCGCGGGGTGCGGGGGGCCGCTCCCGGAGCCGCCCGGCTGTGGGGCAGCCCCTCCCCGCGGGCGGTCTCTCCCGGCGGCCGCGGGGGCGGTGCCGGGGCCCCGACGGCGGCGCAGGGCCGTACCCCGATGGCGTCGGTGGCGGCCCGAGCGGGGGTGCTGCGAGCCCTCAGGCGCCCTCTCCCACCGGGACGGCTCCCGCTCAGCGCCAGGCGTTACCTCAGCGACGCGGAGGG